ATGGAAGCATTTTACATGTTGGCTACTTGCACCATAATACTGGGATAGTGTTAACTACAACTACAGTTGACATGGAAGCATTTTACATGTTGGCTACTTGCACCATAATACTGGGATAGTGTTAACTACAACTACAGTTGACATGGAAGCATTTTACATGTTGGCTACTTGCACCATAATACTGGGATAGTGTTAACTAAAACTACAGTTGACAAGGAAGCATTTTACATGTTGGCTACTTGCACCATGATACTGGGATAATGTTAACTACAACTATAGTTGACAAGGAAACATTTTACATGTTGGCTACTTGCACCATGATACTGGGATAGTGTTAACTACAACTACAGTTGACAAGGAAACATTTTACATGTTGACTACTTGCACCATGAAACTGGGATAGTCATGTAAAATGTTTCCTTATCAACTATAGTTGTAGTTAACACTAGTCCAGTATCGTGGTGCAAGTAGCCAACATGTAAAATGTTTCCTTGTCAACTGTAGTTGTAGTTAACACTAGTCCAGTATCGTGGTGCAAGTAGCCAACATGTAAAATGCTTCCTTGTCAACTATAGTTGTAGTTAACTTGGCTACTTGCACCATGATACTGGATAGTGTTAACTACAACTATAGTTGACAAGGAAACATTTTACATGTTGGCTACTTGCACCACGAATACTGAGATAATGTTAACTACAACTATAGTTGACAAGGAAACATTTTACATGTTGGCTACTTGCACCATGATACTGGGATAATGTTATCTACAACTACAGTTGACAAGGATGCATCGCATGTATAGGTCACTTTAACCATGATTGTGTACAAGGAATATACAGAGATAATTGAAATATAGTTTGGTATTAGGATGTCACACCATTACATAATACTTGCACAAACACACACCAAGTTAATACAGGTACAAGCACTTGTGATACATTCATTCTTTACCATCACAGTCAAATCCAGGAACACGAGATAAAAACTTTGTTTACCTACTGAGGGTTTCAGAAATACCTAAACCACTTTTTACAGATTGAGGAACTTCTAGAATGAGAAAAAATTTTACATAATTACAGTCCTCATCCACTACGGATCATCAAATCCACAAGTGTTTCTAGACCTTGACGAATCCCTTCATCACTACCAAGATGAAAAGGATGAAACATCCATTTTCTACCGTGCAATGTTCCACGAAATAACTGTTCCAACTGTTAAAATAAAGACAAAAAGTGAGCTATTCAATCATGAAAAACTCTCATGACCTGAAAGCTAAGTCTATACGGTATTATATTAATGTTTAGTTAATCAAACGAATACTATAACTGTCTCAGCTAATAACTCCTCAATAATATACATTTGCTATTTGCACTGATTCCGTAACTACTAAATATACCTTTCACTCCATACGTATTAGTTTCAGTTGTATCTTGTAGAAAAAAATACTTTTAAAATCACTTTTTCTCTTTTGTTTTTGAGACAAACTAGTTTTACCTAGTTTTTAATAATCTATCTTTTTTTATTATTTATATAAACTATTCTCTTCTTACCTGTTCTGTTGTTTTATGCTCAGGTATATCTAGGTGAGTAACGAGTACAACACAAGGTACACCTTTGAGAGCTACATCGGAAAGCACAGTTTCTAAAGCTTCTTTGGAAAAGCGTAGATCCTGTTCATTTGATGATGCATCAACAACAAACAGAATTCCATGCTGCCCATGGAAGTACTTGTTCCAAAACACCCTCACATCCTGTCCTCCTGTTGAACACATCAATCAAAATCATTAAGAATATGAAAATTAATTATTTGACAATACCAGTACCAAGAACTACCGTGAACAATTAAATACAGCAATATTACGAAGAGAACATACCATGTAAAACTTAAAATACACTCCACTCATTTCAATATAAAAGATTTATCTAAATTTGAATAAAAATAATTTCAACAGGAAATAATTATTCACTGTTTATACAACACAGTCTAAAAAAGCCAGTTAAAAAATACAGAGTAGGTCCAGTATTTATTCCCATTTAAAAGCACAAAAAAGGCTTAACCTTATATTATTATTACTACCAATATAAGAGAAGTTTACTACATGTTTAAACTAAAAACTATCCATTTAAACTTAACATAAACATTATTCTAGAATAAAAAACGAGTTTGAAAATCTCACATGGAAGTAGAAGCAAGTGTAGACAGAATCAAGTGCCTGTTTCCAATCAGTTATCAATTGGTTCCGTAGATACGCTAATCTTATTGGTAAATCTTTTTTTTTTTCCTTTTGACTAGTCCTTGAAATTGGGTGATACGTCATCCCACTTCTATTTAGGAGGGCCCAAAACCATCTCGCTACTTTTTAATAGACTGTAAGCTTCTCAGAAGAGAAAGATTCAATAAATGATGCAATAAATATTTACGGTGGCAAGAGACTAGGGACAGAAACTTTTCTTAAAACATCGTATAAGAATCAAGTAGACAAAATAGTATGTGGATGAAATGAATGAGCCCTCTTGCTACGGTCACTCGATATGACCAAGTTAGTAACCACACGTGTTTATATACTATAACTCGTAACAGTATACATATGTTTATACTTAAATTTTATTACTTTATTGCCCTTTGAACCATGTCTAACTAATAATCCTGCCACACAAGTTGTAAATCACTTAAATAAATTGCAGCTCACGTTACCGTATCAAATTACGTAATGCACAAGCTGCTCACGAGTATACCCCATGAATTAGTATTATCATTTCTATTTTTTATTATCTAACCTAATAAATTTCATGAGTATACCCCATGAATTAGTATTATCATTACTATTTTTTATTATCATACCTAATAAATTTCACGAGTATACCCCATGAATTAGTATTATCATTGCTATTTTTTATTATCTAACCTAATAAATTTCATGAGTATACCCCATGAATTAGTATTATCATTACTATTTTTTATTATCATACCTAATCTAACCTAATAAATTTCACGAGTATACCCCATGAATTAGTATTATCATTGCTATTTTTTATTATCTAACCTAATAAATTTCTAATTTTTACATTTTAGTTACTTTTATAAAAAATACATAAAGAATACACATGAAAAACAAGAAATATAGTACTCAGCTTCAAAAATTTCACAAACCATCCTACTTCTTCTTTTCCCCAACTTTAAGCACTGCTTTTGATACTGTGTAATCAAAAATTGTATATGTGATGGTTGATAACTATGAAAAATATTACATTCAAAGACTAAAAACGAATAATTTTGTAGCAAAATACAGGGTTCCCCTATGATATTAGGAGAAAAATACACCCTTCTTATTACATGTGTGTAGCATTTCAAAATGATGAATGATTAATATATATACCATAGTATTTAATGCCTAATTATATAACAATTAAACCTGAGACCAGTCTGTTGTTGTTGTTGTAGGCAGTCTCTTTAAAATTACATAAAATAAAAAAAGTTAAAGATAAACTAAATATATGTGTAGGTTCAAACCATTCATCATCCCACAAGGATTAAATATACAGCTTCTGCAACTTACCACCGAGTTCTTTAATATTCAGTGTAGTGTCCAACAGAGGAAGAGTCTTGATATTAAAACCTAAAAGAAAGAAAAATAACACACAGGGAAAACTGATTTTTATAACTGATAGCACAGTTTACAATGCAACAATTTACAACTAACATAAGCCGGATAAATTCTTCAAAAACATACACAAAACTAACATACACAAAAAATATTGTGTTACAAATTATTCAAGAAATATCAAGCATACATTCAATAACTTGAGTCACATTTATTTATTTAACTAAAGCACACACAAAGTTTGTTATTTACATAAAAAGAAAAAAAATTCAAAAGTTAATCAACTAGACATGCAGTACAGTTATTATGATACAAATTAATTTAAACTTTCATTTTACATTACCTGTTGTTGGTTCAATATCATCAGTGGGTTCTCCAACTAATGACGCTAAAGCCGTTGATTTTCCTGCACCCTTTAGGCCTAAACAAAGAACTTCATATTGCTCTTTAACAACAGCAGGTGGTTTTTGGCACTGTATCCACTGGCAACACTACGCAAAAAAATATCACTGCAAACTGTGCTTAATAAATACAAAATAGCAGTGCAAACTGTGCTTAATAAATACAAAATAGCAGTGCAAACTGTGCTTAATAAACACAAAATACAATTTCCCTTTCCACACCATCTGGCTGAAATAATTAGAATGTTTCACTGAAACCAATATAACTGGCTGCTTCAAATCACTAATTCAGACTAAAACCAATATAACTGGCTCCTTCAAATCATTAATTCAGACTAAAACCAATATAACTGGCTGCTTCAAACCACTAATTTAGACTAAAACCAATATAACTGGCTCCTTTAAATCATTAATTCAGACTAAAACCAATATAACTGGCTGCTTCAAATCATTAATTCAGACTAAAACCAATTTAACTGGCTGCTTCATATCACTAATTCAGGCTAAAACCAATATAACTGGCTCCTTCAAATCACTAATTCAGACTAAAACCAATATAACTGGCTCCTTCAAATCATTAATTCAGACTGAAACCAATATAACTGGCTGCTTCACACCACTAATTCAGCAGTGACTGCAATGTTATATTAAAAAGACCAAAATCAGATAATTATTAGTGTATGCAAAGACCTAACACCTTTATATTTTCTCTAAACAATTACATTACAGTGATCTTTGTGAAGATAAGTACTTAGTGTTTGGACAAAGTCTGAGATCCAAAATTATTTCTCAGCTACAAACCTGTGGAATGACTTACCTACTGAAGCACTGCCTCCTGTTTAAATTCTGTAAAACATTTGTTGTATAGTGATACATTTAGTTTTGTTTCACCATTTTTAAAATTTGAGTGTCACCCTTGTATTCTTTATGGGGGGACAGGATGCTAACGATGGACCCACAGATCAACAGTCTGGCATGTTAACCACTGGGCCATTATGAATATACAACCTTTTGTTTAAAAATATTATGAATACACAACCTTTTGTTTTAAAAATATTATGAATATACAACCTTTTGTTTAAAAATATTATGAATATACAACCTTTTGTTTAAAAATATTTTGAATATACAACCTTCCTGAGTCAAATTAAAAATGTTTTAAAGGCAGCCTGTGTAATAAAAAGTTTTCTGCAGAATTTCGTTTGTCCGTTCTTGCCATATATTTAACATATTTTAATGGTAACAATTATCAGTGTAGTACTTGAAAAACCACACAGTTTAGGACAAAATGAGAATAGCCTTCTTATTTCAGTGCAAAAATGTGATATTTAGATTACAGAATATCGTTCTTGCTTATTATTCTAAGGGCTTTTCTTTTTTAAGTTTTAGAAACTCTTTCCTTACTTTAACAAGCCGTAAATGTTTTGTATCATTACATAACAACAAAAAGAACATTTCATAAAGCTAAAAAGCCCATTGATAACCACCATAAAACACCCTTAACTTTCAAGTTGCATATTTTACTAACAAATTAGAATGAAATAATCAATAAACCTTGGGAAAAAAATCTCAACAACCAACACACACTATTTAGCATAAAAATAAGCAACCATTGAGTAATATGTTATGCTGAATATGTAATTTTTTGTTAGTGTTTCATGAAAATCATATTTCCACACTAATGATTCATACCCATGACGTGTAAGTTTACAAATACAAAGCTATCTCTACAAAATTCGTAAAACTTCTCACCAGTAAACTGTTTAAACTCAAATAAATTTTAGCATTCGGCATAAGCATCTTTATCACTTACCATAATTTACTTACTTTTATGTATAAAAAAATCAACAAATAAATCTTTTTTTCTGTATTGAATAATTTTCAACCCTAAAGTTTTTAATGTTTAGAAGAATGACTGCAAGTCTATTTTCTAGAAATTTCTTAATTCTCTGGCACAATTTTGTCCTTCAGGCAGATCGCACCCACCAAGGGTGTGACAGAGTCGAGACTTACTTTTCCAAGTCCAATGCAACATGCTGCAAGTCCAAGTTGGATACTTTCTAAAACCTGTGGCATACTGCAATTGTCAACAAGTGTCTCCAGGTGTTTTACCACATATATGTGGAATACCTACTCCTTCATGATTCTATTCAAACAGAAATAAGTTTAAATAAATTTGCTTAATGATTAGTGTTAGCAATATGTTACATCATAAAATAATTTTCTGTAAAATAGACTGTGTCTAAAAACAGTGAATTATAGGTACAACTTCCACGAACTTAATGTAGTAACAATCAAAAAAAAAAAGTAATAAAACTCACAAGCTATATCTGCATCTTTTATTCACACTGCAATATATCTAATATACAGAAACATTTAAACAAAATATAACCACTCAAAAATTGATAATTTAAAACTGAAAATAGAATGATTAAAAGTGCGGAAAGAGAAAAAAAAATTAAATAGTCAAAATTTCAGTGAAATACACTTTAATGGGACTTATTCTATTGAAATCTTTCCCACTTCATTCTTTATATTACAAAAATCTCAATAATTTCTCTTTTCTGACTTCGTATTATAGTTACATTTATTTGTTATTCATGATCAAAACATTGTGTAAGATTTTAACTGGCTATAAATGTCAGTTGTGAATTGTGAGAAATGCTACACCATTAGCTTTTGAATAATCGTGTTGTTTCCAAAGTGAAAAACTGATTGTAATTACATTTTTTCTTACTTTTAAACCGTCTTCATCAGTCCTGTACAGTTGTAAGGGTGTACTAATGCCTCATTTCACTTGCAGAAGGAGCACCTCTCTCATACTCCAAATGCATATTATTTTCTGGGTTGCTTTCTTATGCACATGAGTGTGGATTGATGGAATTGTGTCACTAATATGGAACACTTTATATAAAATTAAGTTTTTATCATTTGCTGTCAGTCATTTTAAATAATGAGGTTGATGATTAGTCAGTATGGGAACTCAAAGAAAACCCTCATTTATAATTTTTATCACTATACCACTGATCTTCATTTATTTATTCATTAATTGTTAGTTTTAATAACTTTGCCTCCTTGGTTACATGAGCAACCTTTGATACTTCCATCCACGCATCTTACATTCATTTCACTTCGTACTGGTTTTATGACGTATTCGACTTTCCTATCTTATGTTGCGAGGAAGGTTTTTGTGCCAAAACAAATGGTTTTCTTCTTATAGGATTTAAATACCTTTTGTATTTTCAGATTTTATTGCTTCTTTGTTGTATTTGTTTGTTTGTGTTATAAAAAAAAAGTGGGAGGGTTTGTTACTGGAACTTCAAAAAACATGACACCATCATCAATCTATCACTAAGATCTGTAGTATCGTATGTGTTAACCATCTTAGTATAAGCACACCTGAAGTAAGATCTGTAGTGTCATATGTGTTAACCATTTTAATATAAGCACACTTAGATCTTACTTTAAGTGTGCTTATATTAAAATGGTTAACACATATGATACTACAGATCTTACTTCAGGTGTGCTTATACTAAGATGGTTAACACATATGATACTACAGATCTTACTTTGTAGTATCGTATGTGTTAACCATCTTAATATAAGCACACCTGAAGTAAGATCTGTAGTATCATATGTGCTAACCATTTTAATATAAGCACACTTGAAGTAAGATCTGTAGTATCATATGTGTTAACCATCTTAATATAAGCACACCTGAAGTAAGAACTGTAGTATCATGTGTTAACCATCTTAATATAAGCACACCTGAAGTAAGATCTGTAGTATCATGTGTTAACCATTTTAATATAAGCACACTTGAAGTAAGATCTGTAGTATCATATGTGTTAACCATCTTAATATAAGCACACCTGAAGTAAGAACTGTAGTATCATATGTGTTAACCATCTTAATATAAGCACACCTGAAGTAAGATCTGTAGTATCATATGTGTTAACCATTTTAATATAAGCACACTTGAAGATGGGCTATAAAAGTTACCCAAAACACTATTCCCCACTGACTCTCTCATCCAGAGAATTTTGTGTTTCCAAAGCCATTACAGTCTATAATCAACCTTCATTCATTTTGAAAAACACAGCCTCAATTATATGTCAGAGACATATAATTTTGTTTTAATGGTATACTGTATGAAACACATCTTTATACCAGAAAAAATTAAATAATTTCTCAATGAGAGTAATATTTGGTTATAATAAATGAAAAATATATAATCTATAACTACGAGTAACAGGATAAAAATTTGAGGTTGACATTTAAAGTGGAACATTCACAATATATAACAGAATTCTATTTGAAAATTATAATGTAATTGTTCAACATTTTTTGTCTCTGCTATAAGTATAATACATTTGTTAATACTTATTATAGCATATTTGTGAAAACAATTAAAAATAAAACTGGCACATCACAAATTGATTCTTTTTCATCTCAGTGATATCTTTTTTTTTCTACATTCAAGCACTGTATTTATTACTACATTTATAGTCATCAAATTCCTGGGTGTTGCTGTTTTATATAAGGATTTAGATTATTTGATGAGTTAGAAAAATAAATGGCAGATTGCTTTTAATTATAAATACAAGGTAATGCATGCAGGTTATCATAATTTAAATTATAAATACAATTTTGCTGGAAATGGCCTTAACAGTGTTGATTTTTGGTGTTCTGGTTAATCAGTTTCTTATACCATCCAAGCAATGTGCAGTTGCTTGTGATAAGTCGAAGAATATTTTAGATTGTATCTACATAAATACTGAATAAAAATCTAAAGAGGTTAGGCCTCATTTGGAGTATTGTGTTCAGTCTTGGGCTCCTTACCTCAGCAAGGGCATTGACTTGTTGGAAAGGGTTTACAGAAGATGGAAAGACTGTCGTATGAGGACAGGTTAAGATATCTTAAATTGTTTTCTTTTGAAAAAAATGTTAGAGGGGATTTGATTGAAGTATTAACATTTGTTAAGGGAAGTGATAGTGTTGAAGCATCATCTCTTTTTCATACTTGATGGTAAGAATGGTAGGCCTAGGAGTCATAAATACAAATTTTAGCAGAGTAGAAGTTATCTACAGCCAAGACAATTTTATTTTTTTGAGAGGATGTTTGGCTTTTCAAATGGATTGCTTTCAGATGTGGTGGATGCAGTACAATTAAGGGAAGGCTTAATAAATATGTAAATGACAAAGACTGACTTTGAATGAGTCCTTTTTTATACTTAAGTTGTAAGTTACATAAAATTAACGTGAGCCGAGTTGATCTTCTCCATCCAATATCTTCAAGCTAAAGCACAAATAAGTCATAAGCCTCTATCCTATCACTCCTCCAGATAATCTTGTAAACTTCACCTCTTATCTTTCTTTTCCCAGAAGAAAATAATTTTAGTGATCTTAACCTATCCAAATATGACATTCCATCTCTAAAATCATTATAACAACCCTCCTATGAACTCTTTCCAATAAGTCAATATCCTGTCTTAGATAGATGAACAAAACTCTACAGGTTATTCCAAATGGGGTCTAACTAGAGATTTTTATATGGATAATTACCTATTTTGTCTTGTAATCAATATGTATGTAAATACATCTTAAAATTCTATTGGTATTAACTTTAACACTGCTTTGATGGCCTGAACAGCCAAGATCCTTTTCTTTGGCCATACTATTGAATGAGTTCCCATTTGTATTGCATGTGATTCAAATTATAATCCAAATGGAATATCTTGCACTTACTATAAATTATGATAAAAGATCACTTGCGAAGTATTTGTCCAATTTTTACAAAGTGAGTCTGTAAAAGTGTAATACTACAGAATTATCAATACAACTAGAAATACCAAATGGGTTAACGTCATTAGAAAACTTCAGTAATCTATTAATTATGCCCCTATCAATATCATTAATGTACATAAGAAAAAAGCAATGGCTCATGCTCCAAGTTCCAACCCCTAAACTTTAAAACCATTCCAGGTTTTCACTGCTAGTGCTACTAACAGTAACAGTAAAAACAATGGTTCTATTTGACTGGATTATGGGGTAGTAGAAGAGTTAAACCTGGTCAGTTGAAAAAGTAAGAGCCCTAATATTAATAATCATTAATTACAACAGTACACTAATTTGACTGTTTTGAATTTTTTTGTCTTAACAGTTAGTTTAAACTTTAAGTTTTAGACTTAAGTTTTGAACTTGAAATTCAAAGTTCCACACAAGCCAGTGAACGAGCACATTAAGCTAAATCATTGAACTTTCAAATAAGTATATAATACAAGCATTACCAAACATACAAGAAATTCTTGAATGACAGCCAAAAATATACTTTCACAAACGCTAGCTTTTCATACTTAATTACTTCTTATACCGCCATTGGTAACGAAAGCGCCCTCTCCAATAAATATTTTTGTAACTGGTATAGAAATTCGTTATTAGACGGATTAGGAAACAGTTTATATTTTCCTATGTTTTTCTTTCTTCTTCTTTTTTTTTTTTTTTTTTTTTTTTTTTTTTTTTTTTTTT